AACCCTAACCATATCAGCTAGATAGTTACCAGGGTACGTTCCGGTATACCGGACCGTACCCAGGGTACGTTCCGGCAGCTCCCTGGGGGACATAGACCCTATCAGTATCAGCACTACTACTACTAGTAGTACTAGTAGTAGGTTGGTAATTTTGCGATGTATTATGTACGGGTATGGATAATTAATAATCATCCCTCTGTTGACCACACTGTTATTAATTATTTTTGTTTTAGGTTTTCAATTTAGAGGCACTACATGGAGGCCATTGCGGACACTCGATAACTATTGGTGATAAGCTTCAGCATGACAGCAGTATCGGACGCAGATGTTAGCTACGATCTCGGAGCAGAACTTCGCGTGACTTGCACCGTCACAAAATCCGAGTTTCGCCTGCGTATCCATGACGGCGGCGGCAGCCGCGTCACTCGCGCCTCCGTGAGATATGCTGCCGGCTATGACGACGAGGGGGATGACCCGCCTGCTCCAGCGCTCGCGCTCCTCACGGACAAGATGTGCGGTCCGCTGTACAACGAGCTGTGCGGCCGCGATGGAAACCTACTCGGCGAGCGCGTGATTCTCGTCGGATGCCCCGACGGCGTCGTACACGGCGTTCGCGCGAGGACGGGAGACGCTCGCGTTGTATGCGACCTGGGTGAAGCTGTCGTGCACATAAGCGCGGTGAGCGTGAGCGGCGCACCCGAGCACGACGTCGTCGTCGCCATCGGCAAACGCGGCAAGATGGCGGCGTTTGCGTGGCGGGCGTCGCGCGTTGTTTACGAGGAGATGCTGGTGGCAGCACCGGTGCTGGCAGCATGCGTGAGGATGTGCAAGGTCGTCGTGTCGACCGGTGACGACCTCTTCTGTTACGAGCTGTCGTTTAGTCACGAAGATGCACTGAAAGTTGCGGAGCATGATCTGAAAATCTACGGGGTGCAAGATGTTACGTGGGTCTCAGGTTGGCAGGATATTTTCACGCTTTGATTACGCATACATCGAACTATTGGCACCTCCTTTTATACTGATGCAGGTTGCCATTTTTGATCGACGTAGTCACCTCATGTTTGGAGGGCAATTTGTTTTGTAGCATAGAGTCTGTATGGTTATATTATGGTAATTGTAAGACCTGCTATATTCACAATTTTTGGTTTGTTGTCATGTACCCCGTTTCCATTCTTATGATGGCTTCTTAATGATTTTACATAATCATCACCCTATATCTAAGCTTGAAACTGTGCGATTCTATTTAGTAATTTATCTAACTATTTAGGAAATTATCGAAAAATTGTCTAATGTTCTAACATTCAGCGCCATATAAGAAACATAGACTGTGTTTCAGATGACCTATTGCGCGTTCGGAAACTGAACGGACGAGTCTTCACGTGCGATGTTGGCGACAGGCTGCGATCGGTTGCCACGGAGACGAGCAGCATCCCCTGCCTACGCATCCAGCAGCTGCTGACCGAAATCAGCGTCTGCTCGCAGCAGCTCGCCGTCGTCAGCGATGCTCTCGCAGGCCAGTCCGAGCTGCTACATGACTTACGGCACGTCAGCGACATACTGTCACCGGGAGGCGATCCCTCAACACTCAGCTGCGATGTCCGCGTAAGCGCAACCGGCACCTGGCCGTCCGTCGTCCGCCACACTGTGGTCAAGCTGACCAATCGGACTGACCGCCGGCTGTCGCGTCGCTGGACGGTCTTCGTCGCCGTGGAAACACCGGGCGGCCACACGCTCTCTCGATGCTGCGCGCTGCTTCCGTTGGCGAGCGGGTCGTCGCAGGAGGTTGCCGTGGAGATGTCGGAGGAGTGTGTCGGCGCGGCGCTGAGGTGCGGCGTCGCGTACGCGCCACCGGGCGACGCCGTCGCGCCGGGGACAGCGGCGCCCCCTGGCGTGGCGCGTGTGCTGTGCAAGACGCGTCTCACGAGCCTCGACGTTCTCCTGCCTGACCCCCGCGACGCGACGGCCCGCGGCGATCGCCCCGCCGTCGAGCGAACGTTCTCGCTACTCGCGAGCACCCACAGGGGGCGCCTCGAGTCGAGTGCGACGTCGGAGAAGCGCCAGGCTGCTGATGCGGTTAGCTGTACCATCGCCGTCGATCGCAGCGGTTTGCGCGATGCTCCTAAAGTTGCCTCAGGCAAGTGTCGGCATGCGAGATGGTTGTGGTTTGTCAGAGGACCGTAAAACTCTCAGTCGTGAAATACTAGGCTGAGGTTTTAATGATGAATCGGAGACGTAATTTAACCTGTAGGTTGGTGGTTTTCGTTTCGCATAACTGCTCTGCTGAATACCACAAGCACAACCATAAGTCTGCACTTACCAAAGTCTAGTGTGGTGCTGCCATCTACAGGCAGTTATTGTTTATCTTTAACTGTTAATTCAGTCATGTAATTTGTGTACGTTCAAGCACTCTGCGTGACCCTTAAATAGCTTCAGAATGTTGTTCCATCTGAAAATTATATTAAACTGGTTAGTTTATTAAATCTCTAACCGCTTAACGCAACGTCAGAGAAAACTTGCTCACATTGTCTCCGTGGCAACGGAGCATTTTACAAACCGCTGGTAAACCTTAGTCACTGTGTTTCTCATGTTGTTTTCAGATGTTTGGCTCCTTGAGAGGCTGCTGGAGCGAAGTTGTGTATCGCCGGGGAACAGCAACAACGTGCACGCATTTCTGCCGTCACGAGGCTGCGTCGCCATCACTGTGACGTCATTGGCTGAGGACTGTCGCGTCGCCGTTTCTGCCCCTGACCAGCCAACACTGTCTCGACTCTGCAGTGATATCTCCCATGTTGTTTCTCACCTTCGTGAACAGACAGCAATGTTGGTGGAATGAGGTGGAGAATGCACAAATGGTGCAATTTGTACAAATATTACAAATATTATTGTTTTGAGTTGCATTGTTTCTCTGAGGGGGAAACAACTGCAGACCATAACTATCAGTAAAAGTTCTCAAGTAAACTTTCCGACTAGTTTCAATTACAATGTGTTTTGTTATTGTTTCATATTTTTGATAATATATTTATACATGACTTTCTGAATTATTTGTGTTAGTTTTTATTGGCAGCAGGTGGCAGCAGTGGTGTATTTGCAGCTTTACAATTAACGGCAATGATTGTAACTAATACTAATGCGGTCTGGTCCTGCTTTTTTCATTTAGAAGATCAAGCTGGTTGGTGACATGTATGCATTCATAATAATTACATTAATTTAAGCAAGTATTTTAAACCGTTTCAAAATGCCGCAATATACTGGAGTGTAACTTACTGATCCTTTTATCGATGGTGGTTGTGCGAAATAGTTGGTCTGTTTTTAAACACTTGCATGAACCTCTTCAGTAAGCACGGTATAACTAAGCTAGAGAGTGGCTGGGAGACTGAAGAAATGCGGCAGAGAAAATAGCTGAGGGCGGTAGAAGAAAACAGAGGCTGAGCGAGGGACAAGGGCGGCAAGGTGAAGGACGGGAGAGGATGAAGTAGGAATTTTGCACCCTACAGGCTAGGGCGCTCTCCTAATCATTAACACAGGTCAACTAATAAGAGTTTATTACATAAATCTATGCTAAGATACCCCCTAACCATATTAAATGCATATATTCATCACAAAATATAACTCCTCTGGTGAGATATTGCGCATGCGCTAACACACTAACGTAGTCAGATTGTGTACTGACTGGTATAGACAGTGGGGACCTTACATGCAAGATCTTATTTCTAATTATTAATTGAGGTCTAATAATGGAGTGTTATTATATAAATCTGTGCTAGAATACCTCCTCTCTATTTTAAATGTAAAATTTTCGTAAAATATCATTCTTCTCGAGAGATATTGCGCATGTGCGAGTAACGTTTTAGGCGTGCAGTACGGACTGAAGAGAACTTCATAACATAGCTAGAGAGAGAGAGAGAGAGAGAGAGAGGCTGAGAGAGACTGAGGAAATGCGGCAGAGAAAATAGCTGAGGGTGGTAGAAGAAAACGGAGACTGAGCGAGGGACAAGGGCGGCAAGGTGAAGGACTGGAGAGGATGAAGTAGGAGTTTTGCACCCTACAGGCTAGGGCGTTCTCCTAATCATTAACACACGTCAACTAATAAGAGTTTATTACATAAATCTAGCTAAGATACCCCCTAACCATATTAAATGCATATTCATCACAAAATATAACTCCTCTGGTGAGATATTGCGCATGCGCTAACACACTAACGTAGTCAGATTGTGTACTGACTGGTTAGACAGTGGGGACCTGACATGCAAGATCTTATTCCTAATTATTAATTGAGGTCTAATAATGGAATGTTATCATATAAATCTGTGCTAGAATACCTCTTCTCCATTTTAAATGTAAAATTTTCGCAAAATATTATTCTTCTCGGGAGATATTGCGCACGCGCGCGCACCGTTTCCTTCGTGCAGTACGGACTGAAGAAAACTTCATAATATAGCTTACTGAGAGAGAGGGTGAGAGACTGAGGAAAGGCGGCAGGGAAAACAGCTGAAGGCGGTAGAAGAAGACGGATGCTGAACGAGGGACGATGGAGCCGAGGGGAAGGACCGGAGGGGATGAAGTATAAGTTTTGCACCCTACAGTCCAACACACACACCCTACAACCATTTTAAATGCATATTCATCACAAAATATAACTCCTTTAGTGAGATATTGCGCATGCGCTAACACACTAACGTACCGGTAGCCAGATTGTGTACTGACTGGTATAAACAGTGGAGACCTGACATGC